GCAGGGGACTACCTGTCATTCCAGGCACTCCCCCTGCTGGCAGTGCTATGGACGACTATTCCATCCAAGTGATCGTGATTTCCTCGCAAGGACCTCGCAATCACATGGCCCAAGAGAGCCGAATCAGCAGCAGGGGGACTGCCTGGGATGCCAGGCAAATCCCCCCATCGCGTTCGTCCGCGGGGGATCACCAGTGAGCAGGTAAGTCCCTTTGATGGCGGGGTCATACTATGCCGCCCGCCGTCCTTAAGGGGTTAACAGCAATGTAAAACTCCATAATGACTAATCTGAAATGTTTCATCATTTAAAAAAAAAAAAGGGCTTCCTTATAGATGATAATCTATTTTCCACCATTAAATACCCTACTTAACTGGTTATCCACCCAAAAGCAAAGGGGAAAGCATCAATTAACATCGGTGAAACAATTAATTCTTGATATGAAAAAACAAAATCAAAGAAAACCATTAAAATACACCCACCTAAGCAGTGGATTACAAAAACAAATGAACAACATAAAACAACTGGAGATAAAATGCTTCATACACAGGTATTGAGAGGTTTGGGGAATCAACACTTGAAGCCGCTATGGTTTATTTTGGTGGGTGGAACTGCTTTGGACCATACTATCAGTTTTAATTCATATGCAGCTGTGAGTTCAAATTATGGTTAGTGGCACATAGTGGATTCTCTTATCTGCTAGTTATATTGTGATTTTTGGTACCCCTGACTTGGATTGGCTTATCATTCTATCTTGTGGTATATTTCAACCTTGGCCTGTCTCTGGTTACTCTCATGCTATTACCTCTCTGTATGTAAGGACCGGCATTGGAAATAAGCCTGCATCCTTTTTGTATCCTATGATAGTGTGTTCAAGTACTATGTGTTAGGCTATTCAGGACTAGTGATGTCCCGAACGGTTCGCTGGCGAATAGTTCCTGGCGAACATAGCGTGTTCGCGTTCGCCACGGACGGCGAACATATGCGATGTTCGGTCCGCCCCCTATTAATTTACTAATACTAAGTAAAAATTACTTAGTATTAGTAAATTGTGCCCCTACTCGCAATACCGTGAGTAGGGGCATGTCTATAAAACAGTGAGCAGCCTGTGGCCCCCTCTCCCCCCTCTCGCGCTATTGCCCGACCTATTCCCCCCCGGCCCCCACCTCTGAACAGCGGGTGGGGGCCCTAAAGTAAAATGATGGGGAAGGACCTATTGTCCTCCCCCTGGCCCCCACCCCTGAGCGGTGGGTGGGGGCCCTAAAATGAACAATAGGGGGGGACCTATTGTCCCCCCCCCGGCCCCCACCCCTGAGTGGTGGGTGGGGGCCCTAAAATGAACAATAAGGGACCTATTGTCCCCCCCTGCCCCCACCCCTGCACGGCGGGTGGGGGCCATATTGATAATGAGGGGGGGGACCTACTGTCCACCCCCCCTCCGGCCCCCACCCCTTGGCGGCGGGTGGGGACCATAAAGATAATGGGGGGGACCTACGGTGGGTTTAAGCCAATCAGAGTGCTCTTTGTCATTTTACACAGCGTGGGAAAATTCCAAAGAACTTTCCCACGCTGTGTAAAATGACACTGAGCACTGTGATTGGATGGCTTGAAAGCCATCCAATCACAGTGCTCTGTGTCATTTTACACAGCGTGGGAAAATTGAACTTTTTTCCTACTGCCCCCCCCGACAGTAGGTCCCCCCCTCATTATCTTTATGGCCCCCACCCGCCGCCCAGGGGTGGGGGCCGGAGGGGGGGTGGACAGTAGGTCCCCCCCTGCATTATCAATATGGCCCCCACCCGCCGCGCAGGGGTGGGGGCCGGAGGGGCAGTAGGTCACCCCCCTCCTTATCAATACGGCCCCCACCCGCCGTGCAGGGGTGGGGGCCGGAGGGGCAGTAGGTCCCCCCCCTCATTATCAATATGGCCCCCACCCGCCGCGCAGGGGTGGGGGCGGGGGGACGACAATAGGTCATAGAAACATAGAATGTGACGGCAGATAAGAACCATTCGGCCCATCTAGTCTGCCCAATTTTCTAAGGTCCCCCCCTTATTGTTCATTTTAGGGCCCCCACCCACCGCTCAGGGGTGGGGGCCGGGGGGGACAATAGGTCCCCCCTTATTGTTATTAGGGCCCCCAGCCACCGCTCAGGGGTGGGGGCCGGGGGGGACAATAGGTCCCCCACTTATTGTTCATTTTAGGGCCCCCACCCACCGCTCAGGGGGGGGCAATATTGTTATTAGGGCCCCCAGCCACCGCTCAGGGGTGGGGGCCGGGGGGGACAATAGGTCCCCCCCTTATTGTTACTTGGGCCCCCCCCACCCCTTAGGGGTGGGGGCCGGAGGGGGCAATAGGTCCCCCCCTTATTGTTCATTTTAGTGCCCCCACCCACCGCTCAGGGGTGGGGGCCGGGGGGGGGAAATAGGTCCCCCCCTTATTGTTATTAGGGCCCCAACCTACGCTCAGGGGTGGGGACCGGGAGGAGGACAATAGGTCCCCCCCTTATGTTATTAGGGCCCCCACCCGCCGCCCAGGGGTGGGGGCCGAGGGGGGGGGAGAGTAGGTCTCCTCCCCCCCCCTTTAACCAGAAAGAGTCCCTGTGGGTTTTAAAATTCGCCTGCCTATTGAAGTCTATGGCGGTTCGCCCGGTTCGCCCGGTTCGCGAACATTTGCGGAAGTTTGCGTTCGCGAACCGGAAATTTCATGTTCGCGACATCATTATTCATGACATCTCCATGGCAGCATACACTGATCAACCACAACATTAAAACCACTGACAGGTGAAGTGAATAACATTGACTATATCATTACAGTGGCTCCTGTCAAGGGATGGGATAGAGTAGGCAGCAAGTTAACAGTCAGTTCTTGAATTTCATGTGTTGGAGGAAGGAAAAATGGGCAAATGAAAAGATCTGAGTGACTTTGACAAGGGTCAAAAAGTGGTGGCTAGATGACTGGGTCAGAGGATCTCAAAATGGCAAGCCTTATGTAGTGTTCCCTGTATGCAGTGGTTAGTACTTGCCAAACGTTGTGAAGGAAGGGCAACTGGTGACCCAGAATCAGGGTCATGGGTGCTCAAAGCTCATTGATGCACTTAGGGAAAGAAGGCTCTTTTTGCTGGTCACACAGAGTATCACAGTTTTCTGAGAATGGAAATGCGGAGCTGCACACTGGTCAGAGTGGCCATGATGACCCCGGTACACCATTGAAAGCACATTTAATGGGGACATGATCATCATAACTGGACAATGGAACTGTAATTAAATTTGGTTGACTTAATCTCACTTTGCTGCTTGTGATGGGGTCACGGTGGACTTAAAGGGAAACGTTGTGTACCACTGTAACCCTATTATATGTAAATGAGGCTTTTGGGGATATAAATAGATGTGCTGTTTTCAATAAAGCCCAGTTGTGTTTCACCCAATGCTATATCTTGACTAGTATTTGGTTGGAAGGGGCTCTGTCACAGGAACAGTGGAAGACGGGTGCCTCGTCTGATGAATCACATCTTCTTTTACAGTAGTGTTTATAGTGTGGAAGCCTGCATGTAAATTATCATGGTTTGTACTCCACATTATATTATTCATTTTTGCTTTTTTTTTTTACTTTTATCCTTTATGCATTTTATACAATCTGTTAGCTACACAGGGGGATATAAAGGGTGCCCCCGAAGGCATAGTTAGGAGTTTGTAATTTATTCTTATATTTTATCTCTATCTAAAGCTATGTGCAGTATTTAGTAGTTATGCATTTTGAACCTTTCTACATTTATATTGTTACTATCTGACAAGTTCACACAAGGTACAAGGTGTGTTATAAATTTCTATACTATTTCTCATTTTGGCTAAGGCTTATCATAGCTGCTCATAGATTGGAGATTCTTTAATACACCCGCTTATGTACTCTGCAAACACCCTCCTTTTTATCATATGCATTTTAAGATACCCTTGCAGGCAAGACTTTTCGTGACCTAATCTTTAGGCTGATAGCCTTTGAAAATACTTTTCCTTCTTTTTATTATGGCAATGCTATTTTTACTATTAGTATTAATTACAAGTAAAATTTTATATTGTTCAAATGTGCAGGGCTGTTTTTTTCACTCTTCTTGTTTCCTTTTCTTCGAGCTTATATTAGTTTAAGGGGTTATCCCCCACCATCTAATTCTGGCCTTACACATTCTCCCTGAATTAATTTATGTTTTGTTTTTTTTATATATATATATTCTTTATTTTTGTCGTGCCAAAACATACAATGGTTCTCGTAGTGCCACAACAGCTGTTACAAGAGTGTCAGAATACGCAACATTACAAGCTACATGAAATACACAGGTGCTGTCTCAAATATAAAGTTATGTGGCAACAAGCGGGTATGGCACTTTTTTTTTTGTAAGTCAGGGAATTTCAGACCAGGCAAACTTGTCACATGCTAAATGAAAATAAAAAAGTTTAAACATAAACACAGGGTAGAACATGTTAGGTCCTCTCAGGCTCTTAGATTCAAGAGAACCAAGGTTTGGTTTGCATCAGGTGCATTTACGTGTGAGGAAAATATAACATGCCAAGCTGGACTTAATATTGAGGGTAATTCAGGCTAGTCAGGCATGACACTTGCTAATAAATAAAAACAGCTAGACATGCATATTAGTAAAAACAAGAAGAATAGTATCGTAAACCATGCTAATTGAGCAAAAGTGATGTTACCACTGAGACCAACCCTCCCAGTCATGAAATTATCCTGTCAGTGTGAGGGGGTGTGGTGAGGGGCAAGAGAATAGCATATCTATAACACAAAAGAAAAACAAACAAACTGAAACTATTGATCATAAGTAAGCCAATGTCCAGGGAATGCTGGGGTCATGCTATGTGAGGTGATATGCCTCTCAACCACACAGGTTCACCATTAAACCGACTCCCATGTCTTGGAAGTGTTGTGTTGGAGGATAGCCACAGCACTGAGATGAGGTGTGGAATCCCTCTTGCCCTGGGTTACGATGTTGACCTGCATCCCTAAGCCACGGACTCCGTGGCACATTGAGTCCAAGTACCTCCGGCAAAGGGGGCAGCAGAAGGTCCCGATCTCGTTGTGGTCATGCTTTCGCTGGTGTGGGTGATGCATTGGGGCCAAGCCCCTAGTGGTCTTCAGCTCAGGTGGGCTCACATGTGAATGATCTGCTGTTTGTATGGTTGTTGTACCCCAAGGGTGCCTCCTCCCACTGTATGGATCGCCAGTCAGGCTAGCAAAGGCCAATTTTGGAACTGAGTGGTCTGTGTGTGTAAGCCTTTCCCAATACCTTCCTCTGCTGCTGCTCTGCCGGTGCCACAGCTAGGCCTCTTCACAGCCAGCTTCGGCTTTACGTAGCTGTTCGGTGTGCAAGTCTGAGCCACAGCTGTCACAGTAGGCTTTTCTGTCCACTGGTAAAGTGCGTGCCAGAATCGGGCAAACTCTTGTGCAATGTGCTCCTTAAACGGGGCTCTCACTGCATAAGATGGCATAAGTATTGCAATCTTTCCTTCAGTGGCCATCTTGGAGCACATGCGACAAGGGTTCCACTTTGTCGAAACTGTCAAATGTTTTTGTCGTGGATAGGTCGGTTCTCAGTTGGGAACCGGGATATCCCCCACCGGCTCCAGAGGGGTTGGGGACAGCCAGGCTCCGGTTATGTTTTTGTGTTAAAGTGATTACCCCATGTACTCTATCAATTTTATGATTGTCAGAAAAACAAAATCTGTATTACATTTATTTATGATATATTTAATAGATATGTACATCATATAAATGTATAAAAACAATCATTTTTTTACCGTCTCTTTTTTCTCATTTGATCTATAAACCAAATGGCAGAGAAATATGCATTTATATATTATGTACATATTTTGCAGTACACTGATTGGTCCATTTTCATGCCATTTTGTTTCTCTAATTAGTTTTTTGTTAACGAAATTTGGATGAGCCAAAGCTGTCATATGGCCAAAACTAGGCTGTCTCGATTTTTGTTTTACAAAAAATTTTTTTTTATAGGGAGATACTTAATCATGTGTGCTAGTGTGCATTAGTGTGCTAGTGTGCATTAGCCTGTATTAGCCTGTTTCTTAAATGTCACCTTAGGGGTAGCAGGTAAATTGTTTGCAACTAGTCCTAATTCTATATGGATCGGGGACTACTCAATAAACAGTTTTTTACAATCTGAGATTTACAGCCCCATATTTTTGCTCTATTCCATGTAACCCACGTTTAGCAATACCCCTGTCTGTGTACGTAGGTGGATGACCTATATTATGAGAAAGGCAGTCCACAACAGTGTCTCTGCCAAAATGCTAGTCATCACAGGATTATATTGAATAAATATAAAATTAAAATGCTCACATTTTACTTCAACACACGCTTTACTGACATCATTTATGCTTTACTGTTTACGTTAAATTTTAGAATAGAATAGAAGAAATTTATAACTGCTTCATGAACAATGATATTCTATAGTGACATTATATTGAGAGATTTGTCTATCCCTGGTGCTGAAAGGGTTACATTTATTTAAGCAAAACAAAACTGCTTTCATCTGCATTTTAGATGAATGTGTTTGATTCAAAATAAAAGTGCCCTTTCAAGGGATTTAAAGAGACACTACTCTAAAAGGCAACTTGTAATAACACTTTTAACCCCTGTCATAGTAATTAAGACCTCCAATAGCAACCACATTTCAATGAATTTGTAATGGGGGCAGCTGTTATTCACACAGAATACAGGTTGTGCACACAATTCACTGCTTAGCTTAATCACCTTCTCTCTCCTCCGAGACCGATGTGCTATTGACTCCCTTTCAAATGGCCATTGCAGACATAATCCTCCAGAATGTTAAAAATGCCATAAATATTTTTATGTTTAACAGCAAATCGATGCTTTGTTAACACAGTTTGCTCCTGTTGCCTTGGTAACACATGCCCCAGGAAAAGACAGGTTTTTTTAACTCCTTATTTGTTGATAGGGTGGTCTTGTAAGAACTTAATTCAATCCCTTCCCAGCCAGAGGGTTACATCTTAATCTTTAGTATATGTAGTGTGTACAAAAAGCAGATTAAATATATTGAGGGTGTTCATTCTCTTCTCTGCCAAAACCTCTTACATCTTTTTTTGAACCTTGACATTATTTCGATCTTTGTAGGCCTTAGGCATTTGTAAATTATATTGTACTAGTATGCACTGTATTAAGATAATGGTTTATGGAATGTACCAATCATTCGGAAAATGCCAGTTATATTTCAGATTCAGAATCTACCTACTTGTTTGTATTTTATTTTTTGTAGGTTCTCCAACAGTACAAACAAAATGCTGTAGACATCCACTCCTTGTGATTTTATAGTGCAAATAAGCAGTTCTGATTTACACATGGGTTAATCCATACATGTGGGTTAATCCAGCTTGAACCAATAGTTCTTAATCCATATTATTCAACAAAGACATCCCATTAAGTGGGACAATAGTTGGGTGTGTGTCACTAACTCTGCCCAAAAAAGATGGACATGCCTGGAAAGGGGGCAAGTCCACCAGAATTACTGGTAGGTCAGCCTGGTGTGATTGCATGCTAGACTGCCTGCCAATAAAGGAGACCAAAAAAATGTAGACAGTCCGGCAAAAATCAAGATGGTTGGCCTGCTTAAACCTCAAAGTCAAAAGCCAAAAAGAGAGAATGTCATGATTAACTGGGATACAGACCTAATTTTACTCTAAAGGCATGAGTCACCATCATTACATAATTTGTGACCCTTTCAATAAAAGTTAAAGGGGAAATATGACTTCCCATATTTTTTAATTTTATGTTTACTCATCAGTTTATTTAACAAATATGTATTTCTGAGGTCTGGAAAATACATTTAAAGGAGAAATAAACAATGCTTTCCACCATCTTAACTCTGAGTCAGTCATTGTTATAGGCTCTGTACTTCAAACAGGATTATGATGTAATTTCCTTAATCGTTATAAATGGGAAAGAAAATGGATAAAAAAAACTTATAGGTGATTTTCTATATTTTATTCAGTAGTATAAATTCCAGATAAATGACAGTTCCCAGTTAAGGGCTACTGGCTTAGAATTAAACAAAATATCGCTGAATAGAGAGTAGACTTGTAGGTAGTTTTGTTTGATATCAACAGGAATTACATCCATTGCACCTCAAATCAAAGACATTTCTGTGCCTACGGCAACTTTAGCTTTTCTTCCCTATTAACTAAAAAAGATGTTGTGAACTTGTATAAAGCATATTTTTTATTCGGTCTTGGCATATTGCAGAATTGCAGGTTTTAAGATGTAAATTAGCCAATATCACCAAAATAAGTCTCAGCTTTCAAATACAGATGTAGCTATTGGTGATCAAATGTCAGTCTAGTTCTACCCTGCAGTGTACCGTAAAAAATAAAAATAACAGAATTCTCTACAAGATTTTTAAAGAGATACTACATTTTTAAAGAGAATTTTAATATAACAAATATGCATTTTGAGGTGTGACAAAAATTTAATTAAATGTAAAAATCCGCACCTCTTTATCTTGCAACAGGGCGCCTCCAGGTTAGCTCCCTGTCAATCATTGTTATAAGCTCTGTGCTTTGCACTTGGCAGTCAGCACAGAAAACATTGTGGAGTATCATGTAGGTATTAAAATGTACTATATATATACATATATTTTTGCTAGCCAAAAGTGGATGGTCTCTTCCCTGTAATGTATGCCAGAATGGGCACTCTGGGCAGACAATGCAGAGAGCACTGCAGAAGCTCTCTCTGCATGGTTCTAGTGCCTTGATACCGGCACTCAGCACAATGTGAGCATGTCAAATTAGGTGCTCACTTTGCGGTTGTTAGGACAGTTCCCTGCTGTTCACAGACATGGGACACCAGATGACACCAGATGACTAACCTGGGATGTGGGACTGGAGCTTGAATTGAGGTTGGTCCCTTTGAATCCCTGTTGAGATTTATGCTTATGGTATACAATCGACACTTTCAATAGTGCGATTGGAAGGCTATTGAAATATCTTGGTGGGCTACTTATTTGTCTGGGCATTGTTTAATGCGGGAAATGTAGAGCATCTACATACATTTTTAGCATCTTTTTTATTTTATTACTTTGGATTGTTACAGTCTGTATTTGAAAATAGTTTTCAACAAAGGAAACAATACAAACAATAAAATTGTGTAAAGGTTACTATAGAAAGCAAATGCCAGAGAATTACCATGTCATTTGTATTTTGTGGTATAAAACAGTAAACAAAACAGAATAAAATGCAGGACCATGGACCATGTCCAATCAAAGGCATAAAAAAAAGATGACTGATGGAAAATTGAATCTTAAAGGTACAAAATACATTCTAAAGAAACTACCCTTGGTTAGATGCAGTCATGACAAATTTATTTCTATTGCCTACAGCCTTGCTGGCTAAGCATCACAGGAGTTGCAGCATGCGTTCTCTTGTTTCTTTTGTCTTCAAATCCACAGCCAAGGGGATGGAGGAAAAAAGTATTTGAACCATTTTAATCCCTCATTTGCTGGCAATGTGTTAGGGGAATGGTAGGACCATTTAAATCAGGGTTGCCCAAAAGATATATCTACAGATATTTTGAAACTAAAACTTCCATGATGCTTTGGAATTCTAAATGCATTCTAGAGGCATACAAAGCATCATGGGAGTTGTAGTTCTACAACATCTGGGGATCTACCAATTGGGCACCCCTGATTTAAATAATATTAAAATCCTACCATCCAACAGCACAGGTGTTCTGTAAATATTCTTTACAAATTATGTCAGATTTGCTAGAGAAAAGCTCCTAATCTCTCTCAAACTCTTAGATGAATCAGTTATTGGTTAGTTTTACTACAAGTCATAACATTCGTGAATATAGATTATTCTTATTGCAAACTTCAACAAGGGCTCAATTACTGTATATTAGTTGTGATGTGGGAACATGTGGCAGACATTTTTTCACCTGTGTTAAATAATTACAGGTTGCAATTTATCCCATCTCATATTATGGATAGAAATTTATGGAATGTGCATCTTCGATAGGGTTCATGTGACCAAGATTTAACACAGAATATTTTACAAGTTGATGGACTGTTAAATAATCTGCCTCCCTAATAACTGCAGCCAGCAAGCAAAGAGTTAAGAAACAAACACAATAAACACGGGGTCCCATGACACAATAATTAAAAGGGGATTCACAAGATGGCCCTTGACAGCAAATGTCACTAGTTACCCACCACCTTTTTTAAAATGAATTAACACAGAGTTCAAGATGAGCCAAGAATAACCACCAGGTGTTCTCCCCTAGTCCCCAACCAATGTGACACCAAGCCTGGTTATTGTTATATAGTAGAGTTATAAAGATTAGGGTTATGGGTGCAATTTATTTTGTCTCTATTAAGTAAGTTTTATTAAACGAATGCAGGCTAAAATACTCAAATCTGCCTTTTGTGAATAACTGAATGCTTTCATTTCATGTGAATTCCAGGACTGCTTTTCTCTAAGCTGTGGCA